AGAATGTTCAATTTTCGTCGCGGAAATTTGCAGAGTTACTCTTTTATTTTCTCTGTCTCGTCATAGCGACTACCAGTCTGATACCATGTTATGTTTGTTCCTTTAAATAATGACAAACAGGGGCGTAGGTTGAACTACTTTTAATAAACTGATACTTTATCTAGCGATCTCCTTGTGTAGCCATGCAAGGCATACTTCAACTTCCCCCCTCGCATAGCCTGCTGGGTAACATAGTCTTCATTCGTTATTAACACATAACAACACAGTGTACAGCAATCTTTAAGTCATACCACAGATTCTCAATTGGATTGAGGTCTGAGCTTTGACTAGGCCATTCCAAGACATTTAAATGTTTCCCCTTAAACCACTTGAGTGTTGTTTTAGCAGTATGCTTAGGGTCATTGTCCTGCTGGAAGGTGAACCTCCGTCCTAGTCTCAAATCTCTGGAAGACTGAAACAGGTTTCCCTCAAGAATTTCCCTGTATTTAGCGCCATCCATCATTCCTTCAATTCTGACCAGTTTCCCAGTCCCTGCCGATGAAAAACATCCCCACAGCATGTTGCTGTCACCACCATGCTTCACTGTGGGGATGGTGTTCTCGGGGTGATGAGAGGTGTTGGGTTTGCGCCAGACATAGCGTTTTCCTTGATGGCCAAAAAGCTCAATTTTAGTCTAATCTGACCAGGGTACCTTCTTCCATATGTTTGGGGAGTCTCCCACATGCCTTTTGGCGAACACCAAACTTGTTTGCTTATTTTTTCTTTAAGCAATGGCATTTTTTCTGGCCACTCTTCTGTAAAGCCCAACTCTGTGGAGTGTACGGCTTAAAGTGGTCCTATGGACAGATACTCCAATCTCCGCTGTGGAGCTTTGCAGCTCCTTCAGGGTTATCTTTGGTTTCTTTGTTGCCTCTCTGATTAATGCCCTCCTTGCCTGGTCCGTGAGTTTTGGTGGGCGGCCCTCTCTTGGCAGGTTTGTTGTGGTGCCATATTCTTTCAATTTTTTAATAATGGATTTAATGATGCTCCGTGGGATGTTCAAAGTTTCTGATATTTTTTTATAACCCAACCCTGATCTGAACATCTCCACAACTATGTCCCTGACCTGTTTGGAGAGCTCCTTGGTCTTCATGGTGCCGCTTGCTTGGTGGTGCCCCTTGCTTAGTGGTGTTGCAGACTCTGGGGCCTTTCAGAATAGGTGTATATATACTGAGATCATGTGACAGATCATGTGACACTTGGATTGCACACAGGTGGACATTATTTAACTAATTATGTGACTTCTGAAGGTAATTGGTTGCACCAGATCTTATTTAGGGGCTTCATAGAAAAGTGGGTGAATACATATGAATGCACCACTTTTCCGTTATTAATTTTTTGAAACAAGTTATTTTTTTCATTCCACTTCACCAATTTGGACTATTTTGTGTATGTCCACTACATGAAATCCAAATAAAAATCAATTTAAATTACAGGTTGTAATGTAACAAAATAGGAAAAATGCCAAGGGGGATGAATACTTTTGCAAGGCAAAAGTTTTCAAGTAAGTTGTATGCTGTTCATCTAAAATATGAGAGAAAGAGAGAGAGAGAGAGAGAGAGAGAGAGAGAGAGAGGTGTGCTAATCTTTCTGCTGCACCATAATGTCTGTAGCATTCCGCTACACATTCATTGCCTATAATACATATATGCACTAAGCAAAATAGTGCCATCTGCAGTGCTGTTGTAGTTAACAGTTAATCTGACTATTCTCTCATCACTGATTTCATTTACTTATTTCAGCAATTTGAAGGATTTCTGTATAGTCGTCTAATGTTGGTGGGGCATATTATTCTGTTTCAATGTTACTCCTGAATCACTATGATAAATACATGTACATAGTTTTTCTCAAGTGTATATTTAACAATGCTAAGATTTACTTTGAAGTCCACAGTGCAGGAATACAGGTGTGGTGGCGTAGCAGACATATCATAGTGCCGTGAACAAAGAGGTTGTGAGTTCAAACCCCAGATGATGACACATTGAATAATATTTACTGTATAAATAAACATACACAATGTAGTCAAATATGTAACAAGAAGACACTGTATGTTAAAAGCACTATATGTGTATCATAGACACATTTTTTGTTGTCCAAAAACACGTTTTCACATGTGAAATGTCACATGTGAAGTGTTCCAAAAACACATGTTTTTTTGCATGTGTGTGTGTGTGTGTGTGTGTGTGTGTGTGTGTGCAGTGTGAGTGAATGCTGGACATGTTCACTCAATCAGAGTCAGAGTTGTGACAGTGGTATGGTAGTCCTGGGGTACAGGCGTGAAGGGCCCATCATTTGCATTACCAGCACCCAGACCTCCTTAGGCTTGTTCCAACTAGGAATCAGTGCAAATCTTCAATTTTAGCTTGTTCAAAACTTTAGCATTGCTAAGTTATATCAAATATATCTACACACACTGGTTATAAACCTGATATAAGTTTGGTGAATCTAACGACAAAGCAGGGGATGCCATCGCCAAATTAATTTGGTCCCAAAAATTATTTCTTACTTCAAAAACATATTTTTTTCAATAAAATCTGCAGTCTATAATTTGGGACTCAAACTTTGCTACTGTGTGCCCTCCTCTGATGTGTAACGTAAATCTATTCCTGTAGTCGATACAACGCCACATTTTTTATACGTGAGGTGAGGTCCTCGGGACTACTCTAAAACACACAGGTTCTCTAACATCAGGAAGTGGAGCGTGTGAATAATAGGTATAGCGATCAACAATAATTTATTTTCCTGCTGCTTTACACCATACAAAACAATATTTTCATCTTCATCTCCAGACATACGTGTTCCTTGGAAGCTCTAGCGCATACATAATCCCTATCACAGGACATAAAAAACGTTAGTTGACATACAAATCCACAATTAAATTCGATATAGGCCTGAGCTATGGCATAACACAGATCAGATCAATTACTCATGGTCACAGAACATGTTGCACAATACTCTCAGGAGGGCATGCCAAGGGAGAAGGAGAGCGGGTCAAATTGGCATACGGGTACTCTTACCATACACATTTACAAGATCCCCGGATATACTTCAGAATTTGGACTAACCCAATGTTGCCGCTCCCATCCTCCCTGTGCATGCTAACCTTCTCATGGTCATGTGAATCTGTAGAACAACAAGAACAGCCAGGTTAAATACTGAAGGCCACACCCTTAATTACAATTAACAATCTCACACACCTGGCACTGACAGAGGCACAAGTCTGCATTCACTAACTCAATAGTTCCACCCTGTTACATCTTTCCCCTCTATTTTTGAAATGTGTCCTCGCATTTAACCAAGAGAGCTAAAAGTTTGCCACGCTGACCCTCAAGACAGGGGCCCCTCAGGGGTGCATGCTTACTACCCTCCTGTACTCCCTGTTCACCCACGACTGCGTGGCCGCGCACAACTTCAACACCATCATTAAGTTTGCTGAGACCGCCTATAGAGAGGAGGTCAGTGACCTGGCAGTGTGGTGCCAGGACAACAACCTCTCCCTCAACGTCAGCAAGACAAAGGAGCTGATCGTGGACTACAGGAAATGGAGGGCCGAGTATGACCCTATCCACATCGATGGGGCTGTAGTGGCGCAGGATGAGAGCCTCAAGTTCCTTGGTGTCCACATCACTAAGGAATTAACATGGTCCACACACCCACACATTTGTGAAGAAGGTACGACAACGCCTCTTCCCCCTCAGGAGGCTGAAAATATTTAGCATGGGCCCTCAGATCCTCACAAAGTTCTACAGCTGCACCATTAAAGGCATCTTGACTGGCTGCATCACCGCTTGGTATGGCAACTGCTTGGCATCCAATTGCAAGGCGCTACCGAGGGTAGTGCGTACGGCCCAGTACATCACTGGGGTTGAGCTCCCTGCCATCCAGGACCTCTATACCAGGCGGTGTCAGAGGAAAACATCCACCCAAGTCACAGACTGTTCTCTTTGCTACCGTATGGCAAGCGGTACCGATGCACCAAGTCTGGAACCAACAGGATCCTGAACAGCTTCTACCCCCAAGCCATAGGACTACTAAATAGTTAACCAAATAGCTACCCAGACTATATGCATTTACCTCTTTGCACTAACTCTTTTGACTCATCACATATGCTGCTGCTACTGTTTATTATCTATCTCGTTGCCTAGTCACTTTACCCGTACCTATATGTACATATCTACCTCAATTATCTCGTACCCCTGCACATCAACTAGGTACTGGTACCCCGTGTATATAGCCAAGTTATCGTTACTCATTGTGTATTTATTCCACGTGTTATTATTTGTTTCTATTTTTTTTCTCTCTGCATTGTTGGGAAAGGCCCGTAATTAAGCATTTCACTGTAAGGCTACACCTGTTGTTTACGAAGCATGTGACGAATTACATTTTATTTTATTTGACCAGGAGACCGTCATCACCATTCCCATTCTTTAACACAACACTTTGTCGACCCCTGCTGTAGAATGACAGGAACAGCCACTGGCACTGACAGAGACACAAGGCTGCGTTCACCAACTCAACAGTGCCACCCTGTTACACATTTACCTTCCATGTGATGTGGTGGGAACCTGGGAATCTGGCCCTCAGTCACCTTACCACCCAGAGAGGAATGTTTGTAGTTAGTCCTTACAGTAAAATCCATAGGCCACCTCTGTGAGTTCAATAGATACACAATAAGTACAGTGCTGCCATCTGCTATTGTGAGTAATCAAGGGAGGCTACCTTATGAGGCTCAAACAGTTTTCCTTCCTAGAAATAGAAATGTTTCTCAATCTCAACCCACATGTGGTCCATTCCAACACTAACACACCTGATTGAACTAGTCCAACTAATAATCAAGCTCTTGTGATTGGTTGAGTCAGTTGTGTTAGTGTTAGAATGGATCAAATATTGAGAACAGTGGCCTATAGTGGCCCTCATGTCCTGAGAATGTATTCCACCATCAGATGGGGTTAGCTAGTTAGCTAAGTGGCTAGCTGGGACAGTCTGACGTAGGGATCTTCCTTGCACTGCTCCCCTTGCCCCCTCTCTCTCCTCCAGTCCTGCTGCTCTTGACTGCCCCCTATAGGAGGTCCAGAGGACTGCACATGGCCCCAGCCCCCAAGTGCCTGTAGGGCTGGGAGGAAGCAGTACCCAGAGGTGTGTACGGTAGGGCCCACTGGGGGCAAGGTGAAGGGGGTGGTGGTGGTGGAGGGCGTGTACGCTGGAGGAGGGTCTTCGTTCTCACTGGGTAGTGAGCCGTTGGACATAGCGCTAGGTCGGGGTGGGAGGAGCTCTGACTTGGGCCATGCCATTATGTTTTTGTTGCCGTTGTTCTTACTGTCGTCCCCTACTTCAGCGCTCATAAGACCATCAGACACTCCCTCTGTTGATCTGGACAGGCCAACACTAAACTGAGGCATCGCCACATAGCCCTCGCTCGACCCCGAGAGGGATGGGCCAGTCCTCTCCGAGGAGGAAGGAGAAGTGGGTTCAGAGTTAGAGAGAGTGTTGTCGGACTCCACACATGGAGGCTCCAGACTCAGAAACTCACTCGGCGCTGGTGAACTGTCGCCACACAAGATATAAGGGCCACTGAAGCTGAAGCCAGATGAGTCCAGAGCAGGAGGGCCAGATCTGTCCACAGACAACAGATGTAGGGAGGAAGAGTTTGGGTCATACTTCTTCCACCCATCCTTGGTAATGGAATGGAACAGTCCATTGGCCTTTACATCTGGGGTCAACCACAATGGATTATCTGAAGAGCTGCAACACAACAGAGTGAGGTAAGGGTTAGGGTTGAGGCTTAGGGTTGAGCCAGGTCACCGTGTGTACGAGTTATATTTTATAAGTGTTGGACAGTGAAGGTTAGAAGTATGAAGATATGAGCCAGTTTTACCAGCTAAAGCAGAGACTGATATCCTCCCTGCTCTCCAGTGTCTGTACGCTGCAGATGTAGGTCTGCTCACTTCTCTCACTCTCGGGGAATAACAACCTATCAGGAGACTTCTGTGAAAGAGAATGAACTATGAAAGATGGATACATGCAGGCAAGGTCACAGATAGATGATCTACTGTGTCCTCCCACTCCCCTTTGCCCTCTCACTCGCCCTTCTGGATGGTGGTATATCTTTCTTTGTATACAGTGTTTGTCGTTGTTGTTCTGAACCCATTGCCCCCAAGTCGTCGCGACATCGTCAAGTTCACCCCCCCGTCCCCATTTATAATAAAATGGTCCCCATGAGTGCAACTTCTGTAAGCGCCTCTACTCTACTGCTCTATTCCAAAAAGCAAATGCGATGATATGCAATGCTTTATTATAAAGGTAAAATCAGTTTAAAAAAAATATGTTTAAATGTTCGCTACAGAGGCAGTTAGTATGTTATGAATTTCGAGATATGAATTGCCCTTTTTTTTATTTTGAGCACCTGCCCCCTGAAAGGTCTGTGCACAGCCCTGGATCCTACATTGTAATTTATAGTGGTTATGAAAAATAATATTTGTGTACAGTCTAGCCGATTTTAAAACTATCATTATTATTATTATTGAGTGCAGTTGTCATATATTCAATAGATTAATAGTCCACAGCGAGATGCTTTGTGAATAATGCTGGATGAATACTCAGCCATTCAGATGTATTCAGACTTACCTTAATGACCTCTCGCAGTACCTTGCTCTTGAGGGGCGACGGGACAGACACCTCCCACAGGACTACCCTCCTACAGACAGAAAACAAATGAATTAATCAATGGATGGATGAATTAATAGAATGACAGGTAACTGCCAAAATAAATGAAACACCAACATAAAGTTTCTTAAAAGGGTGTTGAACCAGAGCCAGAACAGCTTCAATGCACCTTGGCATAGATTCTACAAGTGTCTGTAACTCTATTGGAAGGATGCGATGCCATTCTTCCACGAGAAATTACATAATTTGGTGTTTTGTTGATGGTGGTGGAAAACGCTGTCTCAGGTGCCGCCCCAGAATGTCCCATAACTGTTCAATTGGGTTGAGATCTGGTGACTGAGATGGCCATGGCATGGGGTGTATATCGTTTTCATGCTCATCAAACCATTCAGTGACCGCTCATGCCCTGTGGATGGGGCCATTGTCATCCTATGGGGGCATAGCTATGGTAGCCCAAATAATGGCCTGCCCAGCATTTTTATACATGACACTAAGCATGATGGGATGTTAATTGCTTAATTAACTCAGGAACCACACCTGTGTGGAAGCACCGGCTTTCAATATACTTTGTATCCCTCATTTACTCAGGTGTTTCCATTATTTTGGCAGATACCTGTAGTTTAACATTAGTAATAACACAAAGGGGAATTAAAATTGTAGAAAAACAATAAAAGCAGTTGGAGAAGTCTGAGTAATCACCTGTGACAGGCTGGTATGGTAACGTAGAGAGTGATGAAGACAATGGCCACCAGTACACTGATGAGGACGTAGAGGAAGGTGGTGGCGGACCAGGAAGCTACAAGGAGACATGGGACAAAACATGCATATGTAAGAGTGGAAAATGTAGTTGATGATCATTGATAAGTAATTGATTAGTAGTGTCTGGAAATTCCTGTCTGTCACGTGAACTGATTGAGTGGTTGCTTTAAGAGAACAAAGTCACATTTTATCAGCTCCTGTTTGCTGCCTTCATCAAGTCTAGTCTTAATTTCTTCTTGTTTCACTCTCAGAATCCTCCAAATGGCATGTTACACACATTTCAATATTATGGTAGTTCAATGATAAAACATCCAACTCATCCAAGTTCATTTTTCACATGAAAGCAAATATCGAGGCTTCACGTAAGACTAACACGTGGAAGCAAGAAACGCTCTTCAATAAATAATGAAAGTGTTTACATTTGTTTTTGAAAACATTCTTCAAGAGAGATGAACATTGGTGCTTTTTCATTCAACATCTCATGAATAGATAATCACATTATAGTTTTTAGAGCTCCGCTGTTTTGACTCACAAGGCTGGCACAGCTAGATGAATTGTAAATAATAAAATATGGATCACATCCCCCCATTTGTACTTGTTTTAGTCCAGACTGGTTATCTCTGATGATAAAATAGGTTTTCAGAGTTATTTGCAAAAAAGTATAGAATTAGCTTGGTCCAAGTTTGTGCTCTTGCCAACTCCATTGCTGTCATTATCAAGCCATATATAGCAATTTACATGACAATTAGTGACAAGGAGTTGGCATGATAGCAAAAACAGACTCTCTCAGGCTAGAATAGAATACAACAATAGAATATTATACTATTAAAAACATGCTTCAACCAGGAGATACCATCTAGGTCCATTACCTGGTTGTGAGGTCCACTCCACTGGATCGGTCCATTCTGAAGGTGGTCCTTCATAAGTATCACCCCTTCCCGGGACCACCAGGGCTCTCACCTTAACCAGGTAACATTCAGAGGGGCGCAGGGACCCCCCCAGGATGGAGAGCGAGGAGGACCCCTGGGAGACATTGAGGAACCTAGTATCCTCCTGAAAAAGAGAATGTTGGACAGAACCAAGTGAGACACCGTAAAATTATCAGTCATCATCAAATGATCTATTCATGAGATGCTTAAAAATGCAAAAGTCTATCTCGCTTGATGAGCGTTCTTTAGATGATGATCTAGAGATGATAAAATGTAATACTGAAAATGAAAAGACATCCCACTTCCTGTGAAAGTATAGCACAAAAATAGATCAAATACTTCTCCTACCTGAGTCTCATTACTCCAGTAGTGCACTTGATAGGTGAGTTCAACATTTGATTTTGGCGGATTCCATTTTAGAATCCAGTTCCCATCTATCTCTTCTATCTGCACGTTGAGTGGATGGTTTGGGCGAACTGTGTAGAGAGAGACATCAAGAATCTTTAAAGAGATTGAACGGGATATTAAGCACTTACGAATGTGTAAATTTTTTGCAGGACGTAACATATCATACGAAATGGATGACATTGTACACAGTTATACACAATTTCCCTGGACCGGTTTTGGCTCATGAGCACTAATTTCTAAACTACTGGCTGAAATTATACATGACCTTCTAGCATCACCTTTGAGAATACTCTTGGGAACCAGCAGTAAATTGTGCCTGTGCTACCACAATATAAACTCCAGGTGGCAGCACTGATACACAATCACTGAGGCAGTATATTTTCTGGATTGCATCAAAACAAATATCATCATAAATTGAGTCTCAGCTATGAGATTTTATTCTCCCCCAAATATCACCCCTGTGTCGGAGTGAAAAATGACTCACTGTGTTTGTGTGTTTGAAACTCTTTGGTGTTGCGTGTGGGGATGAGCTCCACCTCTAGCTGCTCTGAGTTTTGGACAGTGAAGGAGCAGCTGTATTTGAGCATTGGACCCCTAGATGGAGCGCTGACCATGGTGTTAACACAGCATTTCTGGGCTCTGGAGAGATGGCGAAAGGGAGAGAGAAATGGATGGATGGAGAAGAGGAAGGACAATGCTGTGAAAGAGAGTAGTCATCTATGAGACTGAAGTGTAGTCAACTGTTTCGTCTCTTATCCATGGGCACAAACATGAACGCATGCACGCACGCACACACACAAATGCATACACACAGTGCTTTGGCAGCAGATCCTAACTCACGGTGCAGTGTTGTTGTGTTTGCAGGACAGATCGAAGGTAAGGAACTGAGCCAGGTCTCTCTTCACCTCCCAGCTGCATGTCACCACATTCTCCTCATCCAACACACACTGCGCATTGGAGGGGCCTGGCAGAGGGAGGGAAGGGAGGTCAGGCAGGGAGGGAGGGATGGAGCAGGAGGACAGGAGGAAGAGAGAGAGAGAGAGAGAGAGAGAGGGATAGAGAGAGGGGGAATTAGGGAGGACGGGAATGAACAAAAGGGAAGGAGACGTTGATGCACCAGTGAGCAATGCTATTCCAAACACATGACATGTTGAGATCACAATTCCCTGACACCTCCACGTAAATCCCACACAATCCTATAAAGTTGCTCATTACAATTTCATTACAAACGCACTACAATCCTATAAAACGAATACATTCCATTACATTATATGACATTACATTATGAAGGATGGAGTATGTTTATGTATATGTAGGGTTTCTACTCACCCTCCTCAGTCAACCAGGTCACTAGGGGGCTCCACTCGCTCCATAGTCCCATCTTCCCCCTTGCCCTCACCTTGGCCTCATACTGGCAGCCAGGCACCTGAGCCTCAAACTTCACACTCAGATGGGTGTCCTCAACCTCCACTGTCTGCACAGAGAGAAAAAGACAAAGAATATGGAGTCCCAAATGGCATACGTCTAAGGCAGTGGTCTAAGGCACTGCATCGCACTGCTAGCTGTGCCACTAGAGATCCTGGTTCGAATCCAGGCTCTGTCGCAGCCGGCCGCGACCGGGAGACTCATGGGCGGCGCACAATTGGCCCAGCGTCGTCCAGGGTAGGGGAGGGAATGGCTGGCAGGGATGTAGCTCAGTTGATAGAGCATGGCGTTTGCAACGCCAGGGTTGTGGGTTTGATTCCCACGGGGGGCCAGTATAAAAAAAATAAAAAAATAAAAAATATATAAAAATATGTATTCACTAACTGTAAGTCGTTCTGGATAAGAGCGTCTGCTAAATGACTAAAATGTAAATGTAATAGGGCCCCACAAGACTCTGGTCTAAAAATGTACACTATATAGGCAATAGGGTGCCATTTGGCACGCACATTATGTGTACATCTCAATTTACTAAAGTAGCTCACCACTGGGCACAGACATCAATTCAACGTCTATTTGACGTTGGTTCAACATCATTTCATTGAAATAACGTGGACACAGCGTTGATTCAACCAGTGGGTTCCTTTCTTTGCCTCCTTCCCTTCATCTGCACTAGTGTGAAGCACCTGGTCTGGACAGGTTGAAAGTAGACTTCCTGAAAGAATCTTTAAATTGCTTTCACCTATAATGTGGTTTCAAATCAGTGCAGATGAAAGGGAGGAAACCATTTTAGACTATTGAGACACAGCCCTGATCTTTATCGGACTCCCGGTGGTGGTTTTGTTTTCTGTACTTTTGCCTTGTGACATCCTGTCTCAGATAGTAGCGCGGTAATCTTTGGTGAGGATCGTGACGTGCAAGAGGAATGATGCCGGAACATGGACGTCACCAGGACCTGGCTGTCGGAGATTTAGCCCCAAATGATTTTGGGTCAGCCACGAATCTTTTGCGCTGCTGCAATGGTCTAAAAAAAAAAATGTGTCAACTGAATGCGCCACTTAAACTGAACTCATCTTGATAAATCAATCAATGTCAGATTTTTGTTTTCACTGAATGTCCGTTTGGATATTAGGTTACAATTATGCTGGGTAATGTTAGCTAAATTAAGGTGAGTACTCATGACTCATTCGTCTAGCAATTAAAAGCAATGCAGATTTTATCTACACACACATTAGGCCTATAGCCTACCTGATGAGCTTGCCTGATGTTTTCCTGAACTTTCCAATACTTTTCTGATGCCTTTCAGTCACTTAGCCTACTGATGCGAATACACATGTGTACACTTTTCCCATAGGCTATTCAAGTCATTTGTCATATTTTGAATTGTTTAAAAAGGTCATAAGGACTACATCGTCTCAATAACAATATAGCTGAAACAACTATTATATTATTGTAACAGTAAGCCTACCTACACAATAACCTAATGTGGGGTTACTGACCACAATCCATTGAATTAATAATAACAAGTGTTGATTATTTGGCCTTGGGGAGAGCATAGTGCATGGAAGAAACCATAGCGCTTGCAGTAAGGGGTGCGGGATGTGCTGCAGATAAATTGAAATAAATTGAACAAATTATATAGTTACTCCTGTCTCTATAAAAAGAAATGAAATCATTGAAATACTACACCAGCATAATTTAGCCACAGAGGATCAACAGCTTATTATTTTTTGGGGGGCTGTAGATAGTGTTTTGTCACATTATGAACGATTAGGCCTTAGTCTACAGTTGGAAATCCTGCAATTGGGCAACCCGCACGGCAAATATAAAACAGCTGATTGTTGAGTTGTGGCTGTCAATGAACAGCAGGCAGCAGCTAGAAGGTATTTCGCAATATTTCAAAATACAATTGTTGGATAATTCTGTTTAAATAGGTGAGTGCCCCTGTAAAGTTGGTGGACTATAATTTCCTCCTCATTATTGTAGGCCTAAGATCTGTGTACCCACTCTTTTCATTGGCCTATGCTATTTGTTGCATTTAAGACATTGGTTGTTTGTTTTAGTGATCTCAGTATGTAAATGTCAGAGTAGCTTGACATTTTGATCATTCGTGTGGTATAAAAAAATATTATTGTAATGTCTCTAGTCATGTAAAATGATGTCGAATTGCAGGAAATTATTTTAGAAAAGGCCCTTTTTTTCTCTTCCACAACCCCTTCAGCCCCTAGTCTTCAGGACTGAGCCCCCGAATGTTATGAAACTCTGGTGACGCCGCTGGGCAGGAAGCAGAGAGGAAGTGATGAATAATTCTAAGTAAGTGATTAATGATTTTGTAACTGAGCAAAACTACCCTATGCTTGTGCTTGTTTTGCGTGGGATATCTCATGCCATGATGAATAACCATGAGAATTAGCATGTCTTTTTACAAGAGGGTCGGAAAACATAAGCAATATGTTAACTAACAGTCCTCCTACACTCTTAGAAGCAAAGGTGATATCTAGAACCTAAACAGGTTATTCGGCTGTCCCCATAGGAGAACCCTTTGAAGAACCCTTTTTGGTTCCAGGTAGAACCCTATTGGGTTCCATGTAGAACCCTTTCCCCAGAGGGTTCTACATGGAACCCAAAAGAGTTCTACCTGGAACCAAAAAGGATTCTACCTGGAACCAAAAAGGTTTCTCCTATGGGGACAGCCGAAGAACCCTTTTGGAACCCTTTTTTTCTAAGTGTATACTGTATTTATGAAGATTCAGAAGCACATTTCTTAGATGAATAGGAGTCTTTGAGAGCACCTTGTATGTTAACCTGGTCCCAGATTCGTTTGTGCTCTTGCCTGCTATCCTTGACAATGAGTGACAGGGAGTTGGCAATATATAGCACAAACAAGACATGGTACTCAAGCTAATTGTTTGTTACTCCATTACATACTGTCCAGTCATCCTGGTTAGACCTCCTGTAGTTGACCTGGTAGTTGAGAGTGGGGGTCAGGAGGGAAGAGGGGGGGTAGGGGCTTTCCCAGCTGAGCAAACGGACCCCTCTCTCTACAGCCTGCTGTGATAGGTGGACTGGTGGACGCACCCTCACTGTAATACACACACATACATACACACACACACACACACACACACACACACACACACACACACACACACACACACACACACACTGTCAAAAACAAATGAACACATAAATGAATAGTCAAATAATATAGATATAGGACCCTATATATTTCTACCGAATTGGGTCATCTGCTAGCTAACTTGCAACTAAAATGTAACATGTAAATGTAAAATGATTGAGAACCATGATTTATGACAGTGTCCTGTAATGTTTAAACTCACTATTCTATTTATTTTTATTACTTTTTTACTTTTTTTTAGGGGGCAGATCAGTTTTAATATTGCAGATAGATTGTAACTTCCATCAATGTAATTGTCTGCATCACTTCCAATCCCCCATATATGTTTTTTTTTCTCGCAAATACAGTGAGGGAAAAAAGTATTTGATCCCCTGCTGATTTTGTACGTTTGCCCACTGACAAAGAAATGATCAGTCTATAATTTTAATGGTAGGTTTATTTGAACAGTGAGAGACAGAATAACAACAACAAAATCCAGAAAAACGCATGTCAAAAATGTTATGAATTGATTTGCATTTTAATGAGGGAAATAAGTATTTGACCCCCTCAATCAGAAAGATTTCTGGCTCCCAGGTGTCTTTTATACAGGTAACGAGCTGAGATTAGGAGCACACTCTTAAAGGGAGTGCTCCTAATCTCAGCTTGTTACCTGTATAAAAGACACCTGTCCACAGAAGCAATCAATCAATCAGATTCCAAACTCTCCACCATGGCCAAGACCAAAGAGCTCTCCAAGGATGTCAGGGACAAGATTGTAGACCTACACAAGGCTGGAATGGGCTACAAGACCATCGCCAAGCAGCTTGGTGAGAAGGTGACAACAGTTGGTGCGATTATTCGCAAATGGAAGAAACACAATAGTACTGTCAGTCTCCCTCGGCCTGGGGCTCCATGCAAGATCTCACCTCGTGGAGTTGCAATGATCATGAGAACGGTGAGGAATCAGCCCAGAACTACACGGGAAGATCTTGTTAATGATCTCAAGGCAGCTGGGACCATAGTCACAAAGAAAACAATTGGTAACACACTACGCCGTGAAGGACTGAAATCCTGCAGCGCCCACAAGGTCCCCCTGCTCAAGAAAGCACATATACAGGCCCGTCTGAAGTTTGCCAATGAACATCTGAATGATTCAGAGGAGAACTGGGTGAAAGTGTTGCGGTCAGATGAGACCAAAATCGAGCTCTTTGGCATCAACTCAACTCGCTGTGTTTGGAGGAGGAGGAATGCTGCCTATGACCCCAAGAACACCATCCCCATCGTCAAACATGGAGGTGGAAACATTATACTTTGTGGATGTTTTCTGCTAAGTGGACAGGACAACTTCACCGCATCAAAGGGACGATGGACGGGGCCATGTACCGTCAAATCTTGGGTGAGAACCTCCTTCCCTAAACCAGGGCATTGAAAATGGGTCGTGGATGGGTATTCCAGCATGACAATGACCCAAAACACACGGCCAAGGCAACAAAGGAGTGGCCCAAGAAGAAGCACATTAAGGTCCTGGAGTGGCCTAGCCAGTCTCCAGACCTTAATCCCATGGAAAATCTGTGGAGGGAGCTGAAGGTTCGAGTTGCCAAACGTCAGCCTCGAAACCTTAATGACTTGGAGAAGATCTGCAAAGAGGAGTGGGACAAAATCCCTCCTGAGATGTGTGCAAACATGGTGGCCAACTACAAGAAACGTCTGACCTCTGTGATTACTAACAAGGGTTTTGCCACCAAGTACTAAATCATGTTTTGCAGAGGGGTCAAATACTTATTTCCTTAATTAAAATGCAAATCAATTTATAACATTTTTGACATGCGTTTTTCTGGATATGTTTGTTGTTATTCTGTCTCTCATTGTTCAAATAAACCTACCATTAAAATTATAGACTGATCATGTCTTTGTCAGTGGGCAAACGTACAAAATCAGCAGGGGATCAAATACTTTTTTCCCTCACTGTATATACAAATGAATTACTTAAAAATCATACAATGTGATTTTCTGGATTTTTGTTTTAGATTCCGTCTCTCACAGTTGAAGTGTACCTATGATAAAAATTACAGACCTCTACATGCTTTGTAAGTAGGAAAACCTGCAAAATCGGCAGTGTATCAAATACTTGTTCTCCCCACTGTATATATATACATATATACACATACATATATATATATATATATATATATATATATATATATATATATATATATATATATATATATATTTATATATATATTTATATATATACATATACATATATATACATACACATATACATATCCTTTAAAAAAATATATTTCCCTTTATTACTTTCCAACCCCACCACCCCTTCCCTAATTGGAGTAAACTAGTGAACAACAATGCTTAGGCCTCTACTTCCAGCTTATACATACTATATACATTTTATGGACAATTTCAATTTTACAATAATTCTATTTTGTTTGTTTTTTCTCCTGAACTTCCTCTACCCTCAACCTCTCCGATAATTTTTATTATGTCCATCCGGTTTGCTTCTATATACCATATCTTTCTAACTGTGCTCTTCACAAAAGCTCTCAATCTATAACCTATATACTTATTATGGACACAGTATGCTTTACATTATTAGTTATCTTGTTGTTGTAAGTTGTTGTTAGTTGTTATTAGTCCCATCCTTCAACTTCATTCAACACCACCCATCTATCTCTTAACACCATCCATTTTGGATTTCTATTTGCCATATATTTTTCAACTGTACTGTGATGTTTTACAAAAGTTCTGAACCTTTCTATTCTCATTGCTTCTACAGATTGTAAATTGAAAATAAACATTTTTGCTGAAAGTATTATTATAATATTGATCGATTGACTATGACTTTTCAGATCACCCAGTAGTGCTATCTGCAGGGTTAGCTCCAGGTAAATATAGCAATCCTTTAGCCATTCCTGGACCTGTGTCCAAAAACAAGCTACAAATGGACAGTACCAAAACAAATGATCTAATGATTCTGTCTCTTCGCAGCAAAATCTGCAGAGCTGGGAAGATTATATCCCCCCATATAAATAACATTCTATTGGTAGCAAGAATTTTATATAATAATTTAAATTGAAAAATTCTAAGTTTTGAATCCGGCAATACGTTTTGCGTATCAGTTTATAAACACTATGCCATGGAATCGGTACGTCAAAAATCTCTTCCCAACTATTTTGCAATCTATATGGTTCCTTACTTTTTCCCCCTTCCACTTTCCTCTTCCATTTTTGCGGTAATGCTGCAATTATTTGGTTGTAATTTTGGGTAGAGCAGACATTTCCATATGTTTTTGTTAGCTGCATGTGTGACATAACTCCACCAGTCTTACCGATGATATCATTTACGAAGATTATACCTTTTTTAAACATTTTGTCAAAAATAAACGTTTTTTTATCAATTAGTATATTTCAGTTTAACCACAATATTTGTTGCATTATTTGTTCTGTCGTTTCTGGAGGATTAAATTAAAATTGCAACCAACTTTCTATGGCTTGTTTTAGAATAGTGATATTTGGGAGATTATTTCCTTTTCAAATAACTGAAAGTGAGATGTTGTAATCTGAATAAAGGGAAAAAGGCCATTCTTGAACATTGGGTGAGACAATCTTACTAATTTGCTAGAGAACCAGTTCGGATTTAAGTAAACTCACCATTCTTAGACAGAAGCAGGGCAGAGGGACAGGAGGTCTTGAAGAAGAAGACATGGTTGGTATTGATGCCAAAGTAACGAGTGTTGTACTGACACTGGACGGTGAGCTTGCTGTTGTTGGGATTCAGTGCTGGCTGACCGTAGGGTTTACACAGGGACTCACTGGAGAGACAGAAAAAGAGAGGAGAGAGAAAGAGAGAGCGAGAGATAGAGAGAGACATGAGTTCATTGAGTATATTGTTTCTCGGTGTCCACCTCTTCCTTCTCCCCTCCCTCCCTCCCTCCCTCCCTCCCTCCTCTCATCAGCCCATCAGCTCTATCCTTACCGGTTCTCAGTGCTGTCCCAGTAGTATAGGGCTAACGGAGCTTGTGCGGACGTATGTGGACTCTCCTCCCAGCTACAGCGGACGTAGGAGCTGTAGTCATTGTAGCACTGCAGGGACTCAAGCACAGGGGACACTGTGGATAGAGGGACTGGGAACAAGGATATAGACAATAGAATTAGAAGACATTGTGCTGTATGATGTAGAGTACAGGTCTCACTATAGGGCAGAAAATATGATCTACAATCACTTCTGGAAAAAATACATGTCCAAGTGGATGGCAGTGTTGTGATATTGTCTATATCTTAATAAGACTTTCTATAATGTCCACAATGAAACATTTAACCATATGTCCAACTCATACATTTTGTTGTCATCGATATCTGCTAAAAAGATTCTTAGAGTTAGACCCTACCATGATATTGTTTGTTCTCTTGGATTGTGCAGCGTTTTTGTCCATTATTGCAGAGGACCAGGAGAGGGAGTAGTGATCCACAAGACATCCAGAAGAGAAGCATGTTTCCTGGGGAGCGCAGGAGGACAGGTCCCCTGGAGCAGAAGAACATGGGTAAGGGTCAGCAGGTGGGCCTCAGTAATTAACCTTCTAGATCTAGACCATCCTGGACTGACTGCTATATCTGTCAGGGTTCAGAGAAAAATGGCTCAGATGCAAAAAGTCTCACTCACTCAAACATACTCTCTCTCTCTCTCGCTCTCTCGTGAACGTGTACACACACACACACCAATATAATCATTCTCGGAAAAAAATGACATCATTACCACTCACTTCCCTTACAGTATATTCTTCTCTAAGTGATATTCCTCCCACCATCCGCTGTGACCACACATCCGTTCTTCTCACCCATGTTAGCTTTCTCTGTCTGCATGTGTTTCAAATGGCACCCTATTCCCTATATACAGTGCACTCTACCCTATGGGACCTGGTCAACAGTAATGCACTTGATAGGGATAATGGTGCCAGTATGGACATAGCCTCTTAATGTCGTGCTATCAGACACTTTGGAAGAGAAGAAGGAAAAAGGATGTGGCAGACATTTGTGACTGTAGAGATATCCCCCTCAGATACAGTGTGTCTGTGTGTGTGTTGTGTGTGTGTGTGTGTGTGTGTGTGTGTGTGTGTGTGTCTGTGTCTGTGTCTGTGTCTGTGTCTGTGTCTGTGTCTGTGTCTGTGCGTGCTTGCATTTATAAATAAGCATTCCAAGAATACATTGTGGGATAGAGGTTAAAATACAAAGAGATGGTAAGAATCCCCCAAAAATGTACACTTATATGTAAGCTTATTTATACAAGTGAAGTTATTCTCACCTAGTCTCCTCTTCAGTGTTCAGTGAATTCTGTAGTCCTATTTCCAAGAAGTTATGGTGTGTGAAGCAATGTCAAGATCTGTTCGGTCTGTAGCGTCAACTTTATCTGCTTCCTCTTTTCATGCGGCTGTTTACCATGTGGTCAGAAATGACACTTAATCAGCGTTCAGCTCCGTCACAGCGTGATCAGTATGCTCCCAGCGAGCACAAGACATTGAAAAAACAATTTTCAACCCAAAATAAATATTTTCAACATTTTTTCAACCAAAAAGGCATATTTTCAACATTTTCCACATCTTTTCAACCAAAAAGGTGACTTTTCAACATTTTCAACATCTTTTCATGTCTTGTGCTCATAGGGCTATAGTGTGGCATGAAATGCTGCCCTTAGAGTAGTATAAGTAGCCTAGTAGGTATAGTATGCGTAAATTATGAATATCACTTTCACACAATGTATCTAAAACAAACTTATTCATTTTCTGTCATCTTATAATTGTCTTGCTGTTACAAAAGGGTGAGCTTCTAGCCCGGGCCTTTTATGAGTGATGGGGATTTCCAGTGAGGTGCTACTGAACAGTGAAGTCTTTTAGTTGGTTCAGGCAGTGTCACGTCAGTACAGCAATCATCTGAGTCACAAATGGCACCCTATTCCCTATATAGTACACTACTTTTGACCAGAACCCTATAGGGTGCTATTTGGGATGCAAACCAATGATGTCCTTTAGGTCCCTTTGGCCAGGACTTCACTTCAGTAGAATATCAATTCCACTGTATAATACACCAGTCCTTAGCTAACCCACAGTCCTACAGGGAAACGCCTGAGTCTGGATCCTGTGTCCCAAACGGCAATCTATTCCCTACAAAGTGCACTACTTATGAACAGAGGCCTATGGGGTGCCATTTGGGACAGAGTCTGGAAGCTGTGCTGTGCTGCTAGAGCAGCTTATCCTGCTCAATGTGGCGTGAAGGGAGAGGCTCGATATCTGTAGAAGAACTCCAGTCTAGTCCCTAGCAGGGTGATGATTTGACTCTGTTAAGTGTATGCTGCTCACATAGACCACTAATGTCCTGAGGTTATTTAAGGTGACTGAAAAGCCTAAACTTACAATCAAATATCGTCACAGAAAGAACAGTGACCATTGAGGATAATGATAAAGCAACACACGCTCCAAAGAAAACACCACCATAACTGCAGCAACAGAAATACGCCATCCCTGGCTGTTTTAATGATGGTGTGTGGGACAGGCTGTGGTGCTGTCTGTAGATTATGGACTGTGTGGCCGTTTTAATATTTTGACATAGGTGAGACCGGGGATGGTTGTAACACAGGATAGTTGTAACACCCTCAATATCTCTAATCAGGAACAAGCTAGAATCATGTGACTCACTGTGCACATGCTCAGTTTAGTCCTCAACCGTTATGTGAAGAAGCGAGACCCTGTGATAGACTGCAGATTTTATTGACAAAAATCTGATTTTGAGGTAAGAAAGTACTTTTTTGACCAAATTTGTTTTTGCGATGGCATCCCCTGCTTTGTCGTTAGATTCACCAAACTTATATCAGGTTTATAACCAGTGTGTGCAGATATATTTGATGTAAGTTAGCAATGCTAAAGTTTGAACAAGCTAAAATTTAAGATAGCTAATGGCTGCAAGGGTCAGGGTTAGTTGGAACAAGCCTAAGGAGGTCTGGGTGCTGGTAATGCAAATTATGGGCCCTTCAAGCCTGTAACCCAGGACTACCATACCACTGTCACAACTCTGACTTTGATTGAGTGAACATGTCCAACATTAACTCACACACACACACCGCTCACACACGCCAAATTTTTGTTTTGTTTTTGTAACACTTCCCATGTGACATTTCACATGTGAAAACGTGTTTTTGGACAACAAAAAATGTGTATATGATACACACATAGTGCTTTTAACATACAGTGTTTTCTTCTTACATATTTGACTACATTGTGTATGTTTATTTATACAGTAATCATTATTCAATGTGTCATCATCTGTGATTTGAACTCACAACCTCTTGGTTTTCACGGAATTTTGATATTTCTGCTATGCCACCACACCTGTATTCCTACACTTTGGACTTCAAAGTAAATCTCACCTTTGTTAAATATACACTTAAGAAAAACTATGATACTGTATTTATCATAGTGATTCAGGAGTAACATTGAAACAGAATAATATGCCCCACCAACATTAGACAACTATACAGAAAACCCTAAAATTGCTGAAATAAGTAAATGAAATCAGTGATGAGAGAATAGTCAGATTAACTGATAACTACAACAGCAATGCAGATGGCACTATTTTGCGAAGTGCAGAGATCTATTATAGGCAATGACTGTAGGGGGAATGCTACAGACATTATGGAGCAGCAGAAAGATCCGCACACCTCAAATCCAGATAACATGAAACTAAACATGTGACAACATGGAGGGAGTTCTATTGACCTGAACCGTGGTGATGGAGGAACACCCTTCTCTAATCGAATAGTAATCTGTGCCGCTCGGTCATGTTGTCAACAAGGCAGCATGGTGCATCGTCCAGAAACATACAATCTCTTTTCCATAAAATGTATGTTAGAATTTAAAAAATAGTTTTCATTGGGAAGGCAGATAGTGTCTTTATCAAAAGCAATCACTTTGCATGTGAAAACACAGAATCCTACTCATTATTCTATGGTTCCAAAACGAATGCAATCACTTTTCACCCGGGGCAAACTCCTCCCGCCGGGGCAACCTGTGTCAGATAATCAAATCCCCTCAAACTGAAGAGTTCCAAAAACACATTTGCACATGATTTCACATGTGAAATTTCACTTGCACATGATTTCACATGTGAAATTTCACTTGCACATGATTTCACATGTGACATTTCTCAAATGTGAAGTGTTCCAGAAACACATGATTTCACATGTGAAATGTCAGGTGAAGTGTTCCAAAAACAAATGATTTCACATGTTGCTTCACATGTTGTCACATGTTATCACATTAACTTCACATAAAATCACGTGATCACACAAGATGTGGAATTTATTCATTTTTCCATAAGGGACACCACAAACATTCAGTTGTTTAGTCCAGATGTTGTTCTTTAGTTGTCAGATATTGTTGTTTAGTTGAGAAGAGCCAACTAATGGAACATAAAAATAATAAACATTTAATGATTTGTATTATTATTTTATTATTTCTGCCGCACAACATTTTTAACATGGCAATGTTGTTCTCATTTTCTCAGTAAAGACTTTCAATATTTCATTGCATGTCATGATTTATACATTTTTTCAAACTGTTACATTTCACCCCAAGCCCTGTTACTGACCAGGGAGGTTGGGTAAATTGTAACATTTCACTCCTTGTATTTGAGACAAAGTCACACCTTGTCTGTTTGATTTAGAGAGATAATACCAATTTGTAGCAGACAAATGGAAGCTGTTCCTATCACACTTTGAATGCAGTAGCTCAAACAATCTCTGAGAAATTTACAAAAATGCTAAAAGTGTTACAACCATCCCCAATCTCCCCTACGTTAGCTGTCAGTCAAACTGTGCAAAAGTGAAACCAAAACTTACCTTGATGGTTAAGTTTAGGAATTAATTTTGAGAATTTGGTTTAAGCCCATCCTCAACCCCATCCGCAACCCGTAGCTCATCGCAAGCCTACTCGATGGGAATAGGCGCTCGCATTGCCCCTAGTGGACGGTAGGAAATTGATATTGAAATAAAATGAAACCCAGTGCCATAATTTCACCATTTCAATTATGGCACTGGGTGTCATATTCCACTAGAGTCTGGCCTGTGATAAAGTCAGGGTCTGCGTCACAAATGGCACCTTATTCCCTACATTATGCACTACTTTTACCCAGGAAATTAGTGCACTATAGGCAGTAGGGTACCATTTGGGATGCAAAAAGGCCTTTAGCTGTTTTTATTTCACATTCATAACTACCACAAATAAGCCATAGTCCTGTGCCATCCAAGTTTCTATGTAATTTCCCTGGCTGTAACCTCTCTGAACAACTACTGTTCTATTGTATTCAAATAAAGTTTTCTATTAGATTCTATTCAATTCTATTCCATTCTATTTCTGTAAGGCCCCTCACCCCTATCCCTCAAGAGCAGCAGTCGTACAGTGCCCTTCGAATGAAAAACCTGGCATGTCTATATCAAAGTCACACAGACAATTAACTGAGCTCAGATCAGATACTCTCAGCTCACAGCCACACTG